TGGCAGTAGGGGCTTTTTGTGGAGCACATGGTGCTTTTCTGGGTCAGAGCACTTAGCAAAACCTCTAAGCTTGGCAGCACCCCTGTGAGTTACGTTACTTTATGTCCCCATTTTATAGGTGGGGAAATTGAGGCAGAGAAGTTGTCTCACCTGAGATCACAAAGGGAAACAGGGCCAGAGCTGGGACTAGAATTCAGGATTTCTGAGGCCTGATTCCCAGTCCTGCTGTTCAGCTATTGAGCCCACTCCTCTCCCCATACTGGTCTTTGAACCCAGTTCTAGGCAAATGCACTACCCCACCCTGCCTTTCAGCAGCCCTAACTCTTTACCCACTCTAGTCCTGCACTTAACCCAGTGTCTAGGGCTCAACCCCCAGGGGGTACCAAATGCAAGGTTCTCTGTCCACAGAACAGCAGCAGAGGGTGCCATCCACCTGCTGCCACAAACAGACTCTGAGAGGAACACATGATGGCTTTCATAGGAGATGAAAGCACAGGCAAGACAGTAGCACCCCTGGGACATGGACTTTGCTTTGCCAGAGTGCACTGCCCCCATTCAGATAGGGTGAAAGGAACTATGGGGCATATCAGCTGCCAAACCATTACACAAGGATGATATTCTAGCAGAGCCAGAGGCTTCAAATGTAGGCCATGGCCCAGCCTGTTTGTAAATCTGCAGGACTTTACTCAATCCAGTGTCAGGTCCTATTTGGAATGTAATGTAAACTGACCATTTCCACAAGTCTCTACCACATTCCCAGACAGCTCTGTGGGCTGTGGAATGTGTTTCCAAAGGGAGGGGCTGCACTCAGACACCCAGCTCATGCAAGGGCAGCCCAGCAGCAGTAGTTGGCCCATCCCTAACAAGGAGAACTCAAGCAAAATAGCTGGAGTTGGCCAGGAAGGTAGGGGACATTTTATTAAAGGTATGTGAGGGCCTGCACGTCCTCTGTATACCCAGCTAACCAGCTGTGTGCATGAACTGTGTGTACAGTGTTGATGCCTCTGTCTATATAAGAAAGTCCTCAGTAGCCAGAAGGACAAGGGAATCATTTCCTTATATGATGCAGTTCAACATCGCATGAAACACGGGGCAAGGGATCAAGAGCTTCAGCAGGGAACTGAGAACAGACAGTGGTTGGAAACTGACCATGAATAAGCATCCTAACAACGACTGGCTATTGGGCCTGCTCTGCTCTTAGCAGTTCCAGAGCAGCCCCTTCTCTGAGTGGCCCTTTGTTAGCTACAACAAGGGCAACTGACCCAGAGAATTTATTTGCATGAACATAAAATCAGGGAATTTAAGTTATTCAGCATCTTTCTGTGATGCAGTAAAGCAGAGTCTTCCAGACATTTCTTGACATGCAGTGCTGCTTCTGATCTCTGCGCCTTCCCCTAGTAGCCTTGCTTAACACCCCTCTCAGACTGGGCAGTATCATGTCAGTGTGGTTGTGGTAAAAAAGATGAGTGTAAAGCCAGCACCTTTTTATTCAGCTAAGGGATGAGTCACCACCATGTGCTTTAGACGCTGTCTACATTAGGCATATTTGCAGTGGTGTCACATAACAGTTGATGCAGTCTTGAGGCATAAACCTCACTGCTGCGTGCCTGGATCAGAAGCTCATGCCAGTGTGACTACATCAAGGTATTTTAGCGTGACAGGCTCTTCGTACAATGCAGTCATTAGTATTGCAGTGCTAACACAGCGATGGGAGAGTGAGTGGGATTCAGTTGTGGCTTGCCTATGAACAGAATTGTTGATGTTCAAGTTCATGCGAATCTTTGCTGTATTCAACTCCTAGATACGGCGGTGAGGAGCACATCAGAAACTGCTGACAAATTCAGGTCCTGCTCTCTTACTCCTGAGCACATTTAGAATGACTTAAGTTAGACAAGTGCCAATGGGTACGTTTACACAGCAATTCAACACCTGTGGCTGGCCTGAGTCAGCTGACTCAGGCTTGGGCTGCGGGGCTGTAATATTGCTGTGTACATGTTTCGGCTCTGGCTGGAGCCTGGATTCTAGGACCCCTCGAGGTGGGATGGTCCCAAAACCCAGACGCCAGCCCGAGCCCAATTGTCTACACAGCAATTTTTAGCCCTGCAGCTCAAGCCAGCTGATCTGGGCCAGTCATGGGTATGCCAAAGGTCTTGTGTTCCCGTGTATTCCAATAAGGGCAAAGCTGACCTCTCAGGATGGTGAACCAGAAGGGCCTCAGCTTGCCTGACAGATTCCAGCTTGGGTGTGTGGGGCTGGCAGTTAGAAAAACTATTGCCATTTGACTTGTAAATTGAGCATATTTCATCCAGAGATGCTATAAATACAAAGACCACAAATAAATTGTACAGTCATTTTTCTAAGTACAACCAGACTTTAAGCTCAGGGGCCAAGACTCATAACAGCAGCTGTTTACAGGTAATTAGTTTAAAGCCAAAACATGGAAGCTCTAGCTATGAAAAGTATTTAAGACAAATAGATACAAGCATATTAAAGATCATTCAGCCTTGTCCAAATTGTCATGAACATTTCCTAACCCTGGCACTTGCCTGGGACAAAAAATGATTTTTACAATGAAAAAGAAGATACTGTAGTCACTACCTAGGCTAGGGGCAATGAATTTTACCTGGCTGAGATCATTCAATGGCCAACTTCGGAGGAGTGGCGTTTCCAGTCTTTCACTGGCCTTTGCCCTCTAGCTCAGAACCCTTGGACTTACGCCAACACCTAAGTAACTTTGTAGTGGTTTTGGGGCCTCCTAACTGTCACACATGGTACATTATATTCAGCCACTGAATTGGGTTTGTTCTATGTACACTTTTAACCTCCTCCATTCCAGACACACAGTCCAACATGTGTCAGTTTCAGGTGGTCTAATGCTGTCGATGGGCTCAGTCTGTGAAACATGAGTACAGGTTTGAGATCCCAGGTCATTATCAGGCTGCCTGAGTGAACTGAAAAGAACTCTTGTTGTTGTTGTTTTTCTTGTGGTGAAAATACAGCTGACTGCGCCAGCAACTTCCAAAGCCTGGCCCTCTTTGTGTTTTCATTGTCTCATCCAGAGCGTAACCATCACCACGGTTTTCCTCCTGCATCACGCTCATGTAACAACGCATAGCCAGAACGGAGTCAGTTCCGTTCCCCTTCCTAGTTCTGTCCCAGACTCATGAGCATGTCAGTGAGTGGAAGCAGTAAAGACCTAAAGCAATACTGAACCTTTCAGCTCAAGCATTGGTTCACATCTGGATCCAGGCACCAGGGACAGAGTTAATACCAGTTGACAGTTGTTTGGTGGCCTAGGTTTAAGAAGTTAGAATGCCTAGCTCAGCTGACAGATGGCCACTAACAAGAGACACCATTCACATGCGACATCAAAACCTGAAGAGACCTGTAGATCAGGGGTAACAAGAGTGTCTGCGGGTTGGCGTTGGTGCATGCAAGAGGCTACTCGCACTGACCGTCCCGTGCCATTTTTGTGGAGTGAGGATTTCAGTTCTTACTGTTAGCAACTCAACACCTTTCCCAGTAAATAGCACCTGCTGCTTATCTGACATTTATACAGCACTACAGTCTGCCCCAGCAATCACTACCCTGGGGGGCAGGCACCGCCCATTCAAAAACACCTCACTAAGGGTATGTTTATACTACAGCAGCAGTGCTATGGCATCACAGTTGTTGCATAGATGCTTCCTACAACAAAAGGGATTTTTCCATCAATGTCATTAATGGACCTCTCTGAGAGGTGGTATTCTTCTGTCAGCCTAGTTGCACCTACACTGGAGGTTAGAACAACCTACTTGTGTGACACAGGGTGCAAAATTTTCCAGAGCCCTGAGCGATGTAACTAGGTGGGAATAAATGTTCCTATTTAAGTGATGGGCAGTGAGAGCGGTTGCTGGTGGGACAGTCTCAGAGTTCAGCTTCTAACAGAGACATCCATTGTCTCTGGCAATTGCCCACCTAGTCTCACGGTGCTATCGTCACCCTCTCTTGTACCTTTGGATGCGAGAGCCCTTTTGATATGGTCTCACACCGAGAAAGAAGGTCCTGTTCAGATCTTTGACAGGGAGCAGCTGCTGCTGCCACCACCTGTGAATGCTTACCACTATGCATCAGAGCTCTCCAGTAGCATCTCAAATATGGCACCATCTCTCAGGGGCACTAAATTGCAAGAGTCCCTATGGCGCTGGAGGGCAATATTGAAAACAGGAGGAAATATGACAAGAGCAAGAGAGCAGTCAGTTACTTCAGCATATGAAGGTATCACAGCCCAGGGATGCAACCATATATGAAAAGTTCGGGGGGACCAGGAGTGGGAATGCAACAATCCTGTAGCTGTATTGAAGGGAACATCTCCAGAATAGTTAGAATGGCAATGGCATCTCTCTAATCCTAGCAGTGGTTGTGACTGTATCACAGGCCACTGAGTATTGATCAGGAGCAAGTAAAGTGTGTGCATCAGGAAGAGTATCTGAAAGTTCGTACCCCGCAATGAAAGGGAGTGGCTCGTAGGGGTGAGTGTAACAGGTGTGTTGGTGGATCAGAAAGCCATTAAGCAAAACCCACAATAGCATGGTGAAGTCAGTTCCCTTGCCTCAGTCCCTCCCATTCCTGCCCTCGATGTGCTCCTGCCAGGATCAGGGGGATACTGAAGCTCATGCTGTGAATGCTTTGCTGCTGGTGGCTGTTTGCAGGAAGCAAGGGCAGCAGCTGTGCATAAGTGCCACAGAGTCACGAACCTCACAGCTTCCAGCAAAGGACCAGAATAATTCTGTGGCTCGGAACAGCACGAGCAACCCAGAGATGCTCCTGCAGCATCAGCCCACATGGCTCTAACTTACCACTGAGGTGGGAGTAAAATGTACACGGAGGGCAGTGGTGGTGTTAAAGTCTGTTAAAAGGCCCTCAGACTCCTCATTGAGGTGCTTCCTCAATGGGGCCCTTTGCAGTCACACACAGATGGAGCAGGCCAGAGCCCAGACACACAGACAAGCAGAAGACACTTGTATTAAGAAAAAGCTTTTATTGAGTTCAGGAGGCAGAGAATTTTCGCAGGGTGATGACGATCAGGGCCACAATCACAGACGTGCCCAGGAGAGCAGCAATTACGATGGCACTGATAGCTCCAGGACCCAGAGACCCTGCGAGAGAAAAAAAAGGCTCAGAACAGCACAAAGAGCTGGAGGTCACTCAGAGCTAAAGGCATGTGGAAGAAACTGTACCCACAAATCCCTGGGCACATGGAGCACACCAGACAGCCCAGCTCCAGGACCAGGAAGGCTGAGGCAGGAATGTCCAGTGTGGTCCCCAATAATCTCTAGGCAGCTGCAGGAAATAGTATTTAGTGAGGACACGCTCCGCCCTTCCCCTCCACCTGGGTGAATCTTCCACTCCTGCAATACTCAGCCCCCACAGCCCTTGGGCACAATCCCGCATGCCTGGGAAATACACAGTGCTGAGCGTACTATGGAAATGACAGGTGCAACCGTTACACAGAGCCGCCCCACACTGTGCATTTAGCAACAAGTGCTTGCACTGCAGGCCCCGGCACCTGTACGTGGAGGGCCGGGGCTACTGGGATTTTATGGTGGTTGATTGAAGAAAGCCAGTTTCAAACATGAATGTTCCTCCACCAAATCCCAGCAAACTCCAAGGAAAAATGGGATAAAACCAAACCACCTACACTAATAATTAACATTCATTTAAAACCCCATCCCCATTCCTCCCTCCCCCCTGCAACACCCTGAGTGACAAGCACCATGCAGACACTACAGCTGCTGGCTTCCATCCCCATGCCCTGCAACAGCCCTCCCTCGGATGGTAGCAAGGCTGCCAAGGAGCAGTGGTGCTGCTGCTGACTTCCCTTTGGAAACCTCATGAAAGCCACCCTCTGCAACCCAGGCGGCTCTGGGCCTGTGACAAAGTAGGGTTGGAAGCCTTGGGGCGGGGTGAAAATGAGCAAGGGAGGGAAGCAGGGAGGGGGAGGAAGAAAAGAGGGAAGCACATTTTAAAGCCATGCCTGGATCTGAGTGTTTGCTATAGACTTGAAGGCAGTGCAGTAACCTGGGTGGGGAAGGGACTGTGTAGCCCCAGGGGTGCGTGTTCACTAGGAGATAATTGCCTGTGGCCAGATTGCACATGATGGTTGGAGCAGCAGGCAGGGTCTCCGGGACGGTCCTGCCCTTTGGGAGAGTTCAGGAGACAGAAAATTTTCTCAGGGCCACAATCACAGAGGTGCCCAGGAGAGCTGTGATCATGGTGCTAGCAATAGCTCCAGGACCTTGTGGTCTCCTTACATCATTACCTCCCTTGGCCCATCATGAGACACAATGTATCGACACAGCTTTGTCCCAACTGTCTTTCCAGTGAAGCCTTCTCTCAGTTCGCCTGCCAGCTGCGCTTGTTTCATTCCAACAGGGGAACGCTCATTGGCATTGTGGGGTGGGTTGCGGGTGGAGGGGTTTCTGGTTGAGTGGTTCTCCTTGTCTCTCTGCCGTTTATCCTGACAAAGCTTTCAGAGGAGAGATATTGTGACACCACCCAGCCACTGAATTATACCCAGGGGTCACACGGCTGCTTAGGTGCCCATCTCTCCCAGTCAGGAGGTTCAGATGGCAGCAATGCTGTCACCTCAACACAATCACTGAATGCAACTTCCTTGTGTCACATGACAGCAACTCAGGGAACTGTCACTATTGAGCAGGTCTCTGATCAGCTAACTGACCTTCTGACAGCACAGGTCTTTAGCACAGTGGCAAAGGACACTGCTAGCCAATTGACCCTTCCTGGGATCATTCACCAGGACACGTGTCGTATTTTAACCCTCCCTCCACCTTCCAAGTTAACTCACTACAGACTTTAGAAGCCAGTTGGGAAAGTGGCATTTCAGTGCCCTGCCCTGGTCTTTAAAATCTTTGAGGAAGAAGTTTGATTATTCTTGTGGGCTAATGGGGAAACAGTCTCAGCATGGCCCCATGTTACAGCTGTGTTGTGGAAAGAGTCACTCAGACAAATGAGCCCAGAATTACTTACAGAGGGAAACAACAGGGACACAGAGCAAAAGGACAAGAGAACAACAACGAGAGACAGGCAGTGGAGGAAAAGAACTTTACAGACACTATTTGAACATAGCTAGAGCATGGAGCTGGAGCAAGACAGCACAGCTTTCCGGAGGCCAGGAGCTGCACAGCAGAAAGCTCTTGCACCAAAAGCAGGAACACCATGGGGAGGGGCAGAGAAGGTAGTACAGGACACACAGAGGGAGTAGGGATAGGAATAAACAAATTCCATTAGGCTCCTATCTCGCGCAGTATCAGAGGAGCGCAGCCCCAAGGAAATAACATTAAAGGTGGAAGTGTAGGAGGCAATGCATGCGGTTTGCACATGATGAAGGCAGACTCATTTGCATTTTCCATTACTGCAGACATCGTTCTTGTTACAACAGGGGACCAAAGAAGATTCAGCAAGACACAATATAAACCCAGGGGACTTTGTAAGGGTCAAACATCTGAGCTCCTTGGAACTCCTGGATCGGGTTCCAAACATGAGGAACTGAGGGCTAGATTATTGGAGAGCGCAGCCTGTGGGGACGGGAAGTGCTGTGATGAGACACAATGACCCTGCAGGATGCCAGAGTCTGGTTGATTTCCTTCTCTAGGCCATCTCACTGCTAACCCTAGTAGGTTAAATAGATTTGGGGGCAGGGAATCCATCTTTGTTTTGGATAGTGCCTACGGTTGCCAGGTGTCCAGTTTTTGACCGGAGCACCCGGTCGAAAAGGGACCCTGGTGACTCCAGTCAGCACCACTGACCAGGCTGTTAAACATCCGGTCGGCTGTGCTGCAGGGCTAAGGCAGGCTCCTTACCTGTCCTGGCTCTGTGCTGCACCTGGAAGTGGCCAGCAGGTCCGACTCCTAGGTGGAGGGGCAATGCCTGCAGGCAAGAGCAGCATGCAGAGCCTCCTGACCCCCCTGCCTAGGAGCCAGACCTGCTGACTGCTTCTGGGGTGCAGCGCAGTGCCAGGACATGTAGGGAGACTGCCTTAGCCCCACTGCGCTGCTGACCGGGAGCTGCCCAAGGTACGCCCGTGCCCCAACCGTGAGCCCCAACTCCCTGCCCCAGCCCTGAGCCCCCCCCCCAAACCTGGAGCCCCCTCCTGTACCCCAAATTCCACATCCCTGGACCCACTCAACAGCCTGCACTCCTAGCCCAGAGCCTGTACCCCCTCTTGCACCTCAACCTGCAGCCCCCTCCCATATTCTGAATCCCTTGGCCCCACCCCCCCATCCTGGAACCCCCTCCTACAACCAACCCCCTCATCCTCAAGCCCAGAGCCCATACCCCCTCTCACACCCCAACCACCTGTCTCAACCTGCAGCCCCATCCCATATTCTGAATCTCTTGGCCCCACGCTCCAGCCTGGAGCTCCCTCCTGCACTCCAAACCCCTCATCCCCAGCCCCACCCCAGAGCCCTCACTCCCTCCCGCACCCCAATCCCCTGCCCCAGCCCAGTGAAAGTGAGTGAGGGTGAGGGAGAACGAGCCACCAAGGAAGGGGGGGACCCTGGACTTCAGAAAAGCAGACTGACTCCCTCAGGGAACTGATGTGCAGGATCCCCTGGGAGAACAACATGAGGGGGAAAGGAGTCCAGGAGAGCTGGCTGTATTTTAAAGAATCCTTATTGAGGTTACAGGGACAAACCATCCCAATGTGTAGAAAGAATAGTAAATATGGCAGGCGACCAGCTTGGCTTAACAGTGAAATCCTTGCTGATCTTGAACACAAAAAAGAAGCTTACAAGGAGTGGAAGATTGGACAAATGACCAGGGAAGAGTACAAAAATATTGCTCAGGCATGCAGGAGTGAAATCAGGAAGGCCAAATCACACCTGGAGTTGCAGCTAGCAAGAGATGTTCAGAGTAACAAGAAGGGTTTCTTCAGGTATGTTAGCAACAAGAAGAAAGTCAAGGAAAGTGTGGGCCCCGTACTGAATGAGGGAGGCAACCTAGTGACAGAGGATGTGGAAAAAGCTAATGTACTCAATGCTTTTTTTGCCTCTGTCTTCACGAACAAGGTCAGCTCCCAGACTACTGCACTGGGCAGCACAGCATGGGGAGGAGGTGACCAGCCCTCTGTGGAGAAAGAGGTGTTTCGGGACTATTTAGAAAAGCTGGACAAGCACAAGTCCATGGAGCCAGATGCGCTGCATCCAAGAGTACTAAAGGAGTTGGTGGATGCGATTGCAGAGCCATTGGCAGAGGTGAAAGTAAGCTGGTATGCCCCAGTACGGCATACTGGTAAGAGCTGGTGCGCCGTCCCAGGACCGGCTTTCCCAGACGGCAATTTAAAGCCCTAGGGTAGCGGTGGCGGGGCTCTGGCGGGGATTTAAAGGGCCCCAGAGCTCCAGCTGCCACTACTGCAGCTGGAGCCCTGGCCCTTTAAATCAAGATTTAAAGGGCCCGGAGATTTAAGGTCCTGCCTCTTCCGGTTAAGGCCACGCCCCCTGCTCAGGACTCTGACGTACCGGTAAGTTCTCTAACTTATTTTCACCCCTGGCCATTGGCCATTATCTTTGAAAACTCCTGGTGATCGGGGGAGGTCCCAGATGACTGGAAAAAGGCTAGTGTAGTGCCCATCTTTAAAAAAGGGAAGGAGGAGGATCCGGGGAACTACAGCAGTCAGCCTCATCTCAGTCCCTGGAAAAATCATGGAACAGGTCCTCAAGGAATCAATTCTGAAGCACTTAGAGGAGAGAAAAGTGATCAGGAACAGTCAGCATGGATTCACCAAGGGCAGGTCATACCTGACTAATCTAATTGCCTTCTATGACGAGATAACTGGCTCTGTGGATGAGGGGAAAGCAGTGGACATGTTATTCCTTGACTTTAGCAAAGCTTTTCACACAGTCTCCCACAGTATTCTTGCCAGCAAGTTAAAGAAGTATGGGCTGGATGAATGCACTATAAGGTGCATAGAAAGCTGGCTAGATTGTCGGGCTCAACAGGTAGTGATTAATGGCTCCATATCTAGTTGGCAGCCAGTATCAAGTGGAGTGCCCCAAAGGTCGGTTTTGTTCAATATCTTCATTAATGATCTGGAGGATGGTGTGGATTGCACCCTCAGCAAGTTTACAGATGACACTAAACTGGGAGGCAGAAACACTGGAGGGTAGGGATAGGATACTGAGGTACCTAGACAAATTAGAGGATTGGGCCAAAAGAAATCTGATGAGGTTCAACAAGGACAAGTGCAGAGTCCTGCACTTAGGAAAGAAGAATCCCATGCACCGCTACAGACTAGGGACCGAATGGCTAGGCAGCAGTTCTGCAGAAAAGGACCTGGGGATTACAGTGGATGAGAAACTGGATATGAGTCAACAGTGTGCCCTTGTTGCCAAGAAGGCCAATGGCATTTTGGACTGTATAAGTAGGGGCATTGCCAGCAGATTGAGGGACATGATCGTTTCCCTCTATTCGACATTGGTGAGGCCTCATCTGAAGTACTGTGTCCAGTTTTGGGCCGCACGCTACAAGGAGGATGTGGAAAAATTGGAAAGCGTCCAACGGAGGGCAACAAAAATGATTATGGGACTGGAACACATGACTTATGAGGAGAGGCTGAGGGAACTGGAATTGTTTAGTCTACAGAAGAGAAGAATGAGGGGTGATTTGATAGCTGCTTTCAACTACCTGAAAGGGGGTTCCAAAGAGGATGGATCTAGACTGTTCTCAGTGGTAGCAGATGGCAGAACAAGGAGTAAGGTCTCAAGTTGCACTGGGGAAGGTTTAGGTTGGATATTAGGAAAAACTTTTTCACTAGGAGGGTGGTGAAGCACTGGAATGCATTACCTAGGGAGGTGGTGGAATCTTCTTCCTTTGAGGTTTTTTAAGGTCAGGCTTGACAAAGCCCTGGCTGGGATGATTTAGTTGGGGATTGGTCCTGCTTTGAGCAGGGGGTTGGACTAGATGACCTCCTGAGGTCCCTTCCAACCCTGATATTCTATGAATGTAGTGCGCATGGGTGGGGCCCTGGGGCAGGGGCGGGGCAGGGTGTTCGGTTTTGTGCGATTAGAAATTTGGCAACCCTTGGAGTGCCATGTATATCTATGGTGCTAAACAAGCGATAAAGAACAGGATGGCTTACATTGCCAGTGTTCATTTCCCCTTTCCCTGAGATCACAGAAAACAGGACACAGATAACGGAGTTCTCAGCAATACCTTATGGATTTTCTCTTAAAGGCACAGTAACATTTGCTCCAAACAGAAGGGCTCGGGTGTGCAGATGATGGCTGTGTAACCGCCTGACCTGCCATGGGCTGGACAGTTCTAACAGAAGATGGTGCCGGGTGCTGCCTGGGAGGCTCCTACATACCGTTATCATCCAGATGGTGCAGGTCTGTGGTGTCCTCAGGCTCATACTCTGAGGTGTAAGGGGGGAAGCCTGTAGAGTCCGAGAAGTGGCTTGCGGTGGTGGCAGCATCAAAGGGGCCCCCTCCCGACGGCAGCTCCGGCGGCTCATTCCACAGCGTGGGGGCAGGTCCTTGGGGATACTCTGCTGGAACAAGCATAAATCCCAATTACTCCCCGATCAACCACTGATGCCGCTACAGCACTGGGCTACTGGCAATTGTTCACTGGGATTCCTGCCTGCAGGGACCAGTCACAACTTGCAGCCTGTACTGGCCAGCCTGTCTCACCACTGCCCTCTGCTCCGCAACATGTTAGAGCCGCTCACAATTGCCAGTGTTTACTTGGGGGTGGGGGGCGCTGAGCCTTAATCCGCCCCTCCCCCCCCAATGGCTCTCAGCTCTGGCCTTTCTGCAGCTAAAGATTCCCTCCTCTATGGCATGGGCATGGCTGAGGCACTGATACTGATGTCGTATGTAAATGACCTCAGCTGAGTTATACTACATGGCAATCTAGCTTGCGTATGGACCCAGGGCCTCCAGGATCCCAGAACAGAAAAATACCCCTTCCAAATGTCTAATTAAACCACATACACAAGAGATGTAAGGAAAGCCCCATTTAATGAGGGCACTTTCTTTGCCGCTCTCCGGGCTGCATCAGGCAGACCATCATACTGGGAAGGGGTTGCAAGCACTTTGTAGACCAGGGTTAGAATTCAAGACAAGTATGACAAATTGGAGAATTGGTCTGAAATCCACAAGATGAAATTCAATAAAGACAAGTGCAAAGTATGACATTTAGGAAGGAAAAAAATCAAATGTACAACTACAAAATGGGGAATAATTGGCTAGATCGTGTACGGCTGACAAGGATCTGGGGGTTGTAGTGGATCACAAATTGAACAGGAGTCAACAATGGGATTGCAGTTGAAAAAAGTTAATATTATTCTGGGGTGCATTAACAGCAGTATTGTCTGGAAGACATGGGAGATAACTATCCTTTTTTACTCAGCGGTGGTGAGGCCTCAGCAGGAGTACCAGGTTCAGTTCTGAGCACCACACTTTGGAAAATATGTGGATAAATTGGAGAGAATACAGAGGAGAGCAACAAAAATTATAAAAGGTTTAGAAAAACCTTACCTACAAGGAAAGGTTAAAAAACTGGGGCATGTTTAGTCTTGGGAAAAGACACCTGAGTGAGGGTCCGAGAACAGCCTTCCGATATGTTAAGGGCTGTTATAAAGAGGACGGTGATTAACTGTTCCCCATGTCCCCTGAAGGTAAGACAAGAAGTAACGGGCTTAATCTGCAGCAAGGGAGATTGAGGTTAGATATTAGGAAAACTCTAACTCTAAGGGGAGTTAAACTCTGGAATAAGCTTCCAAGGGAAGTTGTAGAATCCCCGTTATTGGAGGTTTTGAAGAACAGGCTGGACAAGCACCCGTCAGGGCTGGTCTAAGTTTACTGATCCTGCCTCAGCACAGGGGGCTGGACTTGATCGCTTCTTGATGTGCCTTCCAGCCTGACATTTCTAGGAGTCTCTGAAAAGCACTAGAGACTAGGGGTGACATCCTGGCCCCATTGACATCATTAGCAAAGCCCCATTGACTCAGCAGGGCCAGAATTTCACCGTAGGTGCTGGAATCAGAACTGGTGAATGAGCAGAAAGGCAGCTGCCATAGGGTGTACACTGGGGAAGAAAACCGTCCGCTAGGATGTAAGTGGGGGCGGGCAGGAAGAAACCTGGTGTGACTAATGCTGGGGGTGAACGAAGCCTATGCCAGCAAAGGGGCTGCCTGTCAGGGTTAAGGAGAGCATGCTCCTAGGATAGTTTCCACTAGATAATTTTCCATTTCACACAGACGCTTGCAGCAACATGGGCTAGGGAGTGGGTGCTAGAGCACCCTCCTGCTGGGACACTGATTAAAGCTGTGGTTCTCAAGGCCGGTCCGCCGCTTGTTCAGAGAAAGCCCCTGGCGGGCCGGGCCGGTTTGTTTACCTGCCATGGCTGCAGGTTCAGCTGATCGCGGCTCCCACTGGCCGCGGTTCGCCGCTCCAGGCCAATGGGGGCTGCAGGAAGCGGTGCAGGCCAAGGGACATGCTGGCCACCCTTCCTGCAGCCCCCATTGGCCTGGAGCGGCGAACCGCGGCCAGTGGGAGCCGCGATCGGCTGAACCTGCAGCCACGGCAGGTAAACAAACTGGCCCGGCCCGCCAGGGGCTTTCCCTGAACAAGCGGCGGACCGGCCTTGAGAACCACTGGACCAGAGTACAACCCTGTTTGTTCCAGGCCCTTGCGCTGATCCAGTGCTGTTGCTGCATCTTCTCTCCCAAACACAAAGCTGTGTATAAACATGAGAAACCATAAACACCAAGTCTAAGCCTACAAGGAAGTTTTCCCAATGGTGATTTTTCCTAGCAGCCACATTTCTCAGCAATCATCAGGACAAGTGTTTGTACTGAGGTCGCTGCTTGGATGCATTTACAACTCACTGCAACTCAGAAAATGAAAGCAAAGTACATTAGCCCAGGGCTGTTCAGCTTCTGGCCATTTTCCTCTCCCAAAAGCAATCAAGGTTTAAGTGCTGACAGGGCCTTTGCACACCTAAGTCCTCTGCCTGAACACAGTTAGCTCTGCAGGGGGAGTCAGAAGCCTCCTACCAGTAGCAGCAGCTGTTTGGATAGGACACATTCCCTGGGAGCATGGCAGAGTGGAGCATTCAGAGACTTGAACCCTCCCCAGATGGCGCCCGTTGGGGCTGCCCAGGGAGAAGAGTAAAAGAAACTGCATTCTGTTTGAGGCTGCAATTCACATCCTGTTATTTCTTTTCCCAGCAGGGTCGGCTGGGACTGAGAAGGGCTTTCCTGTTTACGTGTGGCTGGTCCAGAAGTCTGCATCAATGCTCATTTTGTTCAGGTGGGACAACCCAGAGGCCCCAGTGAGAAACGGAGACATTCCACAGGTCCCTGCTGAAACCACTGGGAATGTCACACTGAGATGGAAAATCTAGCGGAGCAGCCAAGGCCAGGGACATCTCAACGGCCACTCTGGCTATCTAGGCTGAGAAAGTTGAGGGCGGGGATCCAGAACAGCCCAGCTTCCTGGGCTGAGAAAATCTAGGCCATACCCAGGGCAACTGCTCAGCGGGGATTCTGTTAAAGAATGACAGCATCTCACATGCTCACTAAACCCTGGCAGGTCTCATTGCTGGCCCACCATGGCAGAGTGGTGAGGGTTGGCTGTCATGTGATATGTAAGTTAAGATACATGCACCCAGAGACCCTCTAACTAGGTGCATGCTATAAACCAGGGGGCTCAGGACAGGGGATCGGGGCGCAGGAGGGGTGTGACAGGGGGTCAGGGTGCAGGAGGGGTGTGGGGTGCAGCAGGGGGCTCAGGGCAGGGGGTTCGGCTGCAAGAGGGGTTTGGGGGCGGGTCCGGCCCAGCATGCACCGGGGGCAGGACAGGCTCCCTGCCTTCCTGTGCTGCTCTGGGAAGCGGCCAGGACCTGGGGGGGCACAGGGGTCTGTGTGTTGCTTTGGCCGCTCCTCCATGTACCTTGCCCGAAGCTCCCATTGGCTGGGAATGGGGAACCACAGCCAATGGAAGCTTCGGGGGAGGTACCTAGAGGAGCCACCAGAGCAACACGCAGACCCCTCCCCCAGGTCCCGGCCGCTTCCCAGAGTGGCGTGGGGGCAGGGCAGGCAGGGAGCCTGCCCTGTCCCCAGTGTGCGCCGGGCCGGAGCCGCTCTAGGTAAATACTGGGGGGGGAGGACGGGGGGCGCTGCAGGGAGCTGGTGGGCCACGGAAAAATAACCCCATGGGCCACGTGTTTGAGACCCCTGCTATAAACAGTGATAAACTAAAAACTCTGCATTGGGCTGAGTTGAGAGATTCATTCTAGGCTCCTGCTCAGACATCTGGGTGTCTCAAGGTTCCACACAACAGAAGCCAGCCAGAAACAGTGAGTTCCATTTCAGTGGAATTCACCCATGGGCTGGGGCATGCTGAGAGCAGAGCTCGGCTGTCTAAAACAGTGGTTTTCAACCGGGGGTCCACAGACTAAGGCTAAAATTTCCAAAAGGGTCCGCACCTTCATTTGAAATTTTTAAGGGTCTGCAAATAAAAAAAAAGGTTGAAAATCACTGGTCTAGAACCACATTTTCATCGGTTTGTACGTACACAGTGAAATTGACGTTTATTGACATTTACTGATAAAAATCTAATCCTTCCAACTTTAAGTAGGTTGCACCTATATGCAAATTACAGGCTGTGTGTGGAGGAGGGAAACCCAGTGTTATCTGTCAAAGCTACACACACAAAGCATTCACAGGCTCAGTACAAAACCAGTTAACAATGCTACATAGTCTGGTCACCATCTACTGGCACATGATCTATGAACTGATTACACTTACACACATTTCTTATTATAATGCAGGGGTGGCCAAACTGCAGCTCACAAGCCACATGTGGCTCTTTTACAGTTGAAGTGCAGCTCGCGGAGCCCCCCCCACCTCCCCATTCTCCCCCAATCAGACTGGGGGTAGAGGGGGGCTCAGGGCTTCTGCCCTGTGGTAGGGTGGTGGGGCTAGGGGCTCCTGCCCAGTGGGGAGGGGGTCTAGGAGCTTCAGCCCCACAGGAGGTGCCTGAAGATTATCACATGCGGCTCAGAGGATCAGTAAGTTTGGCCACTCCTGTTATAGAGCCTGGGGTTTCAGCTACCAAGACACAAATCAAGAGGAAGGAGAGATTTAGTGATGAAGTTAGGCAAGTCAGCAGGTAAAGGTGCAAAACAAACAGAGTTGTGGCTATTTGATTAGCCGCTGGCACTACTAGCCGATTGGTTTCAGAACAGACCAATGTGTACGAAACTTCTGAGCCCCATTTCTAAACTGCTTGGTTGCATGGGGGAACTAACGGCCCAAGTCATGACCTCACTCATTGTGTTAACACAACAAGTGCCAGGACCAACACTGGCTAGCAAAGACAAGTGGCTCCAACCGAGAAATAGGAGAGAGAATTATTTGATTACATGAGAACTCAAGCCAATATAGCAGTGCGTACGCCTCCCAGCTGATCAGGCTCTAAGATGTTAGCTAAAATAATGGGCTCATTGCTTGGAGCAAACACCATTCCTCAGGACCATGCTCAGTCGCTGGCGTTTTCATAGCAGGGAACGTTCTGAAAGTGATTGTGTGACAGTTTGTTTCTTCTGATGAACCATACGCTAAGAGGGTAATAGAAAGGTGCTTTATATATTCACACCAGAACGCAGTGCTACATGTCTCGTCTCTCCTGTGGCCATTGGTGGCATCTTTAGCACACGGAACACTGTTGGGAACTGCATTCATTGCACTAAGGATATTCACCACTGCAGGACTTGCGCAAAACTCAGTGCTAGATAAGTGAAGGAAGAACTGATTTTGACTGTGGTTTTAAAGCACTTTTACACCCTCTAGTGATTGTTAAGCCTTGATATAATCTGACAGATTCTGGATTAACAGTGCATGCGCCACACGATTTTTCTGCCTTGAGCTCTTGTGGTTTCTAACAGAGTTTTAATTACTAAAGAAAAATGCAACCTCTTTGCAGCCTGTTTTGAAGTGACATTAACAATACTTGTCAGTTTAGAGTATATACAAAAACCTACACACACACGAACTTAAGTAGCCATGTCAAAGACACATCAAGAGTCTGACAGACCTACCGCCACTTGGAACTGTTTAACATATCATCCTTAACTGCCGACTCTGGAGATAAGATGCCATAGGATTATGCAATTATCTGAAAGTCCTGCACTAATCAACACAAGAGGGGAAACTAAGGCTATGTCTACACTGGCGACTGAATGACAAAAATGATCTTTTGAGGGGCGTGGGGTGTTTGTTTTTTTTTTAACACCTCTGAAAGACAAGTTTTGCTGACGACAAGCACGGGTGAGAACAGCTCTTTGTTGGCAGAAGCGCTCTCCTGCTGTCAACACTAACGCTGCTCATTGGGGCTGGAAGTTTGTCAGCAGGAGAACTGACAAACTATGGCTACACTGTAGCAACACAGCACTGTCACTAAAAGTTGCATAGCCTAAGTCAGAAGCAAGAGAGGACGTTGCCTCGTTTATCCCTCCTGAGCAAAGTACTAACTGCGTGTGTTAAACTAGCAGTCTGCTTTCCATGACTTGCCCTCACTTTTTCCATCCCAACTAACAGCCGTGTCTTCAGATGCCCCCTGTTCCCACTCTTCTGAAATAAGGCTGAACAATCCAGGCCCATGTGTCTCTACAGTCATTTACCACACAAAAACGAGAAGTGGCCATTACTCAGATTCTATCCACTTTTACACTGTTACTGGAGTTAACACTGAATGTTCTGGCTTTAGCCAACACAAGCAGGCCCTTAGCTAGCAGTATTTAAACAGCATTTTAGGCTCACTTCTTTTATAACCCCCCAAACATGCTGACTGTGTGTTGGGTCTGAGGTTGATGAAATTGATGTTTACAGTAAAGTGTAAGATTCCAAGAACCAAAGGAGAAATTAGGATTTCTATTAGTCTCTCTGCAGTGCACACACCTGACAGAGCTTTTTAAGTTGCATGCTTTTCTAGCTGTGTAGTTGACATTGTGAAGCCGCAAACTAATGATGCAACTTAAGCAGTACAGGATCTGATGTCACACGTGGAACTAAATGTGTAAAAAGAAGGTTTTGGTTGCTACACTGCAGAAAAATACATTAAATAAAGTCCTCAGCTCACTATTTTAACACAAGAATGCCACCAACATTTGTGGGAGTTTATTAGTAGTTAAGCAGGGCTTGTATGTACTACCACCGTACAATCCTGGATCAGGGCCCCACTGTGCCACTGGGTTGCCAATCCCCCAGGATTGGCCTGGAGTCTCCAGGAATTAAAGATTAATCTTTAATTAAAGATTATGTCATGTGATGAGATTTCCAGGAATACATCCAACCAAAATTGGCAACCCTTTGTGTCAGGCACTGTAGAAATCCCAAATACATTCTTTAAATCTGTGAAGTAAAACAAACGCATTTAAAACTGTAAGGGACGCAAACCATTTATGAAGAAGGCTTAGAGAGTGGGCAGGATATTGTCTTTTTAGACATCCAAGTATTGCATGAAATACACCCGAACTGTACCTCTTAGTAAGCCTGTAGTCTTCTCTGGGTTCTGGCACTATGTATTAACTACTCAAGCATCAGTCTTGTGGTCTGTATTGTCTTTAGAAATCCCCATTAGAAACACAGCCTTACATCCAAGAGTTCATGACAATTTATTCTCTATGGGTGAAATCCATTGGTCTGCTGAGGGGCCAGCAAAATAGGGTTTAAGTGATATGCAGTCCTCTATGAATGTTACTTTATGAGAGACATTTCTCTGTTACACTGTAACCCCACTGAAACCAGCCAATGGAACCTGGTGCCTGAAGCCCCTGGGCATTTCACTGGGGTTGTAAGAGAATTTGGCATGCTTCATACACTTTTCCATAAAATCACCTGACAAGAACCCACACTATACTAATCCACTTCTCGAGCCACCATGTGGAAGGACCGATTGGGTATAAATGCAGTTTATCATCTACCAGGTAGGTGAATGTAATACAACATGCTTGGGCAGCATTGATAGAAAAGTTTAAGTATTAAGGCTTAAAATGGTGTAACTATTACGCGAATAAAAAAATGTCACCTCCCTACGAATGGCCAAGTGGCCATGACTGTATTTGGTAGGGATCTAAGTCAGCCTCCACTTGGGAAGATCTCTCAGTATTGTGTGCTCTCCCTAGGATCATCATCTGCTAACCACCACCTGGGCTGCGTAGTGAAAGGAAGGAAGCTGAATTAGCTGAGGATTCTGAATCACGAAGGTAGGTAAACACAGCCATGTACATAATGACTCATTAGCCTCGTTTCCCAAAAGCTCTGGCATTTAAAGTGAGGTTACACAGAAATATGCATACTTCTTAGGGATCAATACACTTGGTCCTTAGCTAGGTGCTTCTCAGTGCATCTGACCTAGAGGATACTGCGGTAACCACACCTCCTCAATGAGTATGGCTTATGCTCCCAAGCGCATTCAGCCCTTGCCTACCGTCACCACACCTGCATCTTACCAGGTCTGAGCTTAAGGAAGCTCTGCTCCATTTAGAGTCTTCAGTCCGCCAGGCACTATGAAGGTTAGGAAGTATCGGTGTCCAGGTTCAGTACGAATAACGTGTGACACGACAGCCATGCCTCTCACACAGCAATCAGATGGGGTGAGGAGATGGATCCCACAAATCACAGCCCTTGAGGATAACCAAATATAGGATCTTTCCAAAACAGAGGCACTAGGCACCCTGCAGGCATGTCAAATAAACCGCAAGATCAGCAGTATCAAAAGCAGCTGACAGAGTTAACAGCATGGCTTTTGACTCCTGTCTATTGCTGTGGGTCAGCCACCACAGAGACCAACAGACTCTCCCCCACGTGCATTGTGGTATAGTCTCTGTGATAATGTGCTTCCCTACACCACTAGGGTGTGGTCAGGATAAATTCATTTTCTGTTGCTTTTTGTGGCAAACAGGTGAATCTGGGGAACTCCCCCACCTTTGAAAAATGCTGTTCACTGCATCCGGGTGAATGAACCACTTGTGATTATGGAAGGCTCTGCTGAGATAGTTTGCCAGCTTGTTCTGAGAAACCAGGAGGTAGGATGCTTCCAGGTGAGTTGAGTGGGCAATGCAGCTTGAGGGCTTCCTGACATAGGGGAGAGGAGAGAACTCTGCACTGCTTGTTTATATAAAACATTGCGGTCGTGTTGTCTGTCATCACCGCTGCACATTTCCCTTGCAAATGGGCCTGGAAGGTCTGGCTTGCCAGGCAGACAGCTCTCAGCTCTTTGACGTTGATGTTAAGTGAGAGCTCCTCTTGCAACCAAAGACCTTGGGTCCTGAATTCTCCCAGATGAGCTCCCCATCCCAAATCCTGACACATCTTGACCAGGGCCAACGAGGTCTGCGGTTTGGTGAAGGGGACCCTCGGACATACCACCTGTGGTCTGAGCCACCATTGGAGAGACCCGAGAACTGGCAGTGGGAGCGTAACCACCTTTTCCAGGTTGTCACGCCCTGGCTGGTAAGTTGACACCAGCCAGGCCTAGAGAGTGTTGCATGACATATGTACAAGCTGCCATATGTCTGAGGAGCTTCAAGCAATTCCTCGCTGTGGTGGTGGGGTATTGCTTGAAGCCTTGTATGATGTCTCACATTGTCCAAAAATGAGACTCTGGAAGGAAGGCTCTGGCCTGACCCGAGTCCAACACTGCCCCAATGAACTCTATTCTCTGAGCAGGGGATAGAGTTGATTTGTGTATATTCAGGAGACCCAGCCTGTTGAAGGTGGATCTCATCAAGTTGACGTGTTGCTCCACTTGTGCCCTGGAACGGCCCCTGATCAGCCAGTGGTCGAGGTACAGGAAGACCTGCACCTGCCTTCTTCTCAGGAAGGCGGCTATGACTGCCATGCACTTGATAAAAACTTGAGGGGCTGCTGATAGGCCAAAGTGGAGGACGGTAAACTGATAATGGTTGTGGTTCACTATGAAGCTGAGAAAGCATCTGTGGGCTGGAACTATCGGTATGTGGAAATACAAGTCCTTGAGTTTGAGGGCAATGTATCAGTCTCCTGGATCCAGAGATGGGATGATGGCAAAGAGACCATAGAGAACGTCAACTTCTTCAGGAATCTGTTGAGGCCTTGCAGGTCGAGGATGGGTCTGACACCCCCCCTTTGGCTTTGGGGGATTAGGAAATATTGGAAGTAGAATCCTGGTCTCTTAGCTCCTGAGGAACCTCCTCCATTGCTCCTGCGGCGAGGAGTGTTTGAACCTCCTGCAGGAAGAGTTGCTCATGAGACGGGTCCCTGAAGAGTGACAGGAAAGGGGGGGTGGGAGGAGAAGAATTGGAGAGAATATCCCACTTCTGCAGGGTGAAGGAACCAGCAATCTGAGGTTATCTGGGACCAAGCACAGTAGAAGTGGGACAAGATTCAGAAATCAGGGCGAAAGATCCATCGAGAGGACTGGTACATCGTCCCCGGGCGCACCTTCAAAAGGCTTGCTTAGAGCCCGATGACTGCCTCGCCAAGCCCTGGCCTTGACTGGGTGGTGGATGGGGAGACTTATGCTGGCCATTCCTGTCCCACTTCCTGGAGAAGTCCTGCTTAGGCTGGGGAGGGTAGAAGCGCGGAGGGGGTGGGGCTTAAAGTGTTTCTGCTGGGTAGTGGAGGTATGCAGGCACAACGATTTCAATGCTGCCCACGAAACCTTTAGACTATGGAGCTTGGAGTCTGTCTGCTCTTAGAACAGCCCCATGCTGTTAAAGGACAAGTCCTGAATTGGTAGTTGGACCTCTGGAGCCATGAGCTCGTTCTCACGAGCAGAGGACATGGTTTGTGTAGCCACGTCCAGTGAGGCCTGCAAAGGAGGTCCATGCCACTGCCTTGCCCTCCTCTATTATGGCTGCAAATTCCACTCTGGAGTCTGACTGGACCAACTCCTTAAATTTCATCATGGAGTCCCATAAATTGAAATTGTAAGTACTGAAGATTGCTTGCTGGTTAACAATCCGAAGCAGGACACCACCTCCCCCACCGGTGGAGTACGCTTTCCTGCTGAAGAGGTATCAGCTTCTTTTAGTCCTTGGATTTTGGAGTTGGCCCCTGCTGCCCCATTTCTCTCTTTCATTTGCTGCCACTACGAGCAGTGAACTCAGCTGCGTATGAGTAAATAACTATTTGTACCCCTTAGAGGCGATGAAATAGTTCCTCTCCGCCCCCTTTGCTGTAGGGGGGAATGGAGGCAGGAATCTGCCACAAGGTTTTCGTAGTGGCTTGAAACGTTTTAATGAGTGGCAATGCCACCCTGGATGGCCACTCAGGAGTTAATATATCCACCATGGACCTTGAGTGTGGAGACCACGGTTGTGCTGAGCGGGATGGTGTCGGATAACAGTGCCTCATCACTGCGGGTTTGCCTCTAGACTGCACCACACCTTGCTGTGCTGGAGGTGTGTCTCGGCTGGCGGGGTCACCCATTGGCATGGGCTCATGGCAGGTCCTGCACAGCTTAAACCCTTGGGATCGAGGCATGCCCTGAACCCCAAGAGGGGAGGGAATTGGGATAGAAAGCCCCCCATTTCTATCCAACTAACTTACTAAGACTAACACTAACTAATGAACTATTTACAGGATAATCAAAAGTCCAATCACTAGGGGAAATGCTTGCCAAGGTAAGAAACAGACACAGCTCCAACGACCATCACTGGTGGTAAGAAGAAACTGAAGAGGCGGCGGGTCGGCAGGAATCTATGTACACTGCCATGAAGGCGCAACTCCAGGGGGCTCCACAGCTGACCTGACAGGTACCACTAGGGTGGTACCGACTGCACGTAGTGCGCGCACACCTACTTGGAATCGACACTAGCAAGCACTCTAAGAACAGTGGGCTAGGACTTTGGGTTTGAGGTTGCCTTCTTCTTTACCATGAAATATTGACCACTGCAGGAAGTCAAGTCAGACTAGATGAGCAAGTGGTCTGATCCCAAACAGCTAATCCTTTGACCCTTTATGTGTGCAATGAGCTCTATGCAGGTGTTGAAAACCCTCAGAAACAATCCGATTCTTTATTCTGTCTTGCTAATCTCTTAATTTGCAATTAATGGAGGTTTATGCTCCATAAGGGTTTTCAAGGCAATGCTTCAACAAACCGACATATATACACCTTGTTCTCTGGTGCTTCTCCTGTTATATATAGCACCAGAGGACAAGAGTCATCCAGGATATTTGGGCCAGCAGGATTTACAACATCTGCACATTGGTCCGAGGCTGGCTTCATTTTGCCCACTTTCAAGGGCTTTGCTATGGGAAGCGAGAGGCCTTAACACAGAAGGGCAGGAGCTGGGTGAACTCTGAGGCTCGCAATGGGCTGTCCGGCCCCAGGTAGCCACAGTGGGCATGTGGCCAGCGTAGAGATGAAAAGAGCCCTTCATAGGAAGCACAAAGGGCAGCCTGTGATGCTGGGAGCTCAAGTGTGGAGCCGCACAGAGTGCTGTGGTTAGACTGAATGTTAAATAAACTCATTTACAAAAAGGCAGGGGCCGTGTGCATGTATATGCAGACCAGAGGACTGTCTGTACCCCTTCACCTCTGTTGGGGCTAGGCGGGAAACTTCCCTTTTATGATAGAATGAAATACAGAAAAAGTTCCACCATGCATTAAAAGACTTGATTTAGGGAGAGAGAACCCTTCACACTTAGTGCTGCAAAATAAATCTTTTACACTTTTCGTATCCTTAATGCAAACTGGTTCCCTGATGCTCCAGTTTTAGATACCAAAAGAACTAACCCACCAAGGGCTCAAAGCTGCAAGAGAAAATGTATTTGAGAGAAAGTAAAGACACACTGCTACAAGATACATCCTACCAACACAACGCATTCTGCGGCAGTACAGGCATCATTCAATGAACCGTCCATTCTCTAGTCAGCTAGGGATGGAGTATTTCATACAAAGTATACTATGAAGATGAAAGTAACAGAATAGTAGGTGATGGTCAGGTACAATATAAGTGAAAACCCTATTGTGGTTGGGTTAGTACAACATGCTCCTTATCCCAGACCTACTGGTTATCCCATGGGAGTTTTTGCATGGTAAGTCTGAGTTCCTGTATATATTGTATTGACTTAGCTACATTGCTTTCTTGTGTCCATGTGAGGTTCTAGCTCAGTGAGGAAGCAGTTTAAGGCACCACTGAAAAATAACTAACATGCACTTGCATGGTGGGGAAGATTCCAACAAGCTTAACTATTCTTTGGGGGAAGAGATCAGCCACTGTTGTACTTTAGTTACAAACTGGAATTTAGGATTCAAATGTTTAGTGTGCTACATATATAAATCATCTTATCAGAACACTGGGGTTGCAGTCACAAATTAGATGCTGTATTTCTTAGTTATTTAAAAAGAGTTCCTAGCAGCCAAGATCTTTTCATGAAATAAATATTAGATACCTTTACTTTTCACTTGCCTCTATAAACATTGTGGTTTGATATTCTACAGAATTAAAGTTCTTGTGTGAAATTCCCCAAAAAAGAAAAGGCTAGATCAACTGTACAGCAATTTGCCAGGCAAATGGTCAGGACAATCCTTATATGCAAGATGCCAAAATGAATTGTGCAGGAACAAATTTGCAGTGTACATCACAAGCCAATGTAGCTCCAAGACCTCCAATGTTTGGAATACAAGATAAAGGCTTAGCAATGTGTTTAATCAGATAGACAGTCACCTCCTACCTTGCTCCGAACCATCCACTTGATGTTCAAACACAGTCCCATCTACACTTAGAGAGGGAAGTCTGTTAAGAGAAGCAGTTCCGTAACATGGTTGCAATACACTGAGGCCAGCCCATGTGGAGAGGACTGTGGGCATAACATTATTTCTTTGTTCATAAAAATCATTAAAGACTAGACAGACAATCTTTAGAACAATTCTTAAATTGGTGGAACAGGGCTATGCCCTTAATATGCACTGGCCAGTGTAACTGCACTGAAACCATGTGAGATGGCAATTGAAAAATTGTTTGTAACAGTCCCATTCAAGATGGGACCTTAGAGAGCAAGCACAAGTCCTACTGATTAGTCTCCTCCCCCTGCACCCTCTTTGCTTTGTTTTTGGGCCTGACCAAGCTTTACTAAACCTCAGTCATAGTTCAGTGCTTTCCCACCCCAGTTCTTAGGGCTATACACAGTTTTGAAGGAAAAACTCAATAACTTAACCCTGCCTATGTAGCTTGGTCTTTTTAAAAATTCCTCTACTATTTGGGACCCAAACATTGCAACATTGTACTTGTGCATGGGAGACAGAAAATGAATAACCAGAAACTGGTTCATCTACTGTTCATTGTCCAAGCTGTGTGAAAGTAGTAACCCAACGAAAAGAACTGAAACATGATTTTAACTTAATTCTGCTAGGATTCAGAGCATACAACTCTTCCTCTCAGCTGCAGAGGCAACCTGCTTGATGCAATCCAAATTCTCAGTAATTCTTATTTTTGAGACTAGGCCTGTAGTCATTTTTAAAAGAGATACAATAGACAGAATTCACTGTCTCAAGCAGCAGATCAAACCCTTCCCCTGTACTAGCTACTTGAATTCCAAAGATGACTTACTGAACTATGAGGAGGGGGTACTTTCTCTCTAGTTACTTATGAAAATCTTTTGGGAAGACTGAAGAGATGGGGCAAAAGTGGGAGGAGGTGGTTAATAAGTAACAGATTCCCTGTGCTTTGGGACTGTAAATCCAAACAAAGATGCTTACCTCTTAGGACAGCAGGGACCACGACTCCAGAGAGCATCAGCAGGACCAGGTGAAGAACGCTGTGATAGGGCATTTCTTTCTCCAGGAAGAGAGTGTCAGAAGGAATTTTTAAAAACTCTTCTAAGTAGAAAAGGCTTGGAAACTTCACTAGTATAATGAAACTTTGTCTAGTCAGATCACAAACCCCTTCATGTGGGAACGCAGACACACACAGAGTGCAAACACTGTAGAGACTCACGGACACCGATTTCCAGGCAGACCTCCCTCCTGAAGTCAGGAACAGCTCCACCCTCTAAAATTTGTGCCTAAAAATTCCTCCCACAGCGTATGTACAGCTGGACCGTTGGAAATCAGTTACCCCTCCCAATCTGGTGAGTGCACACTAGTGGTTGTTGGCCGAGTTCCCCCACAGGATTCAGGACTATGTTTGAAATGCTTACCTTTGGGGTGTCCATCCCATGTCATACTGGAAATTAGAATGCAACAGTATTCATTACAGAAGCCACACCAAAAACAGGCATATGGTTCAATGGTTTACCCTCCTGTGTGTGGGGCAGTTTTATTAGGGCTGGCATCAATGAACAAGGGCCTCCAACTTTAGGGTTAAAGATGCTCTGAAATCAAGCCAGAGCAATTTCTTGGCATCTTTGTTTTCCGGACATAAAACTATAAAGGTAGATTTACAATAAAGACCACACGTGGCGCCCCCCGCACCCCGGGTCACAACTGTCTACCAAGAAGCATCTTCTAAATCACAGACACACATCAGATTTAACCTGACCATAGGCATTTTCCTGCCCCTCTTCTCTTCCCTCAAACATGCTCGAGAAAGAGGATCAAACAGCAGAGGGAAAAAATGCACATTTTTTAACTAGGCTGACCCAAGCACCTCAAATGATAAAGGGATTTGGGAAAGAATTAATCTTCAATAAAAGGAGAGCTTTCCAGTTTACCAGGGATGAGACAGTTTCATCATGTTCTCTCTCAGTGAGTCCAGAATTTTTTTTTTAAAACTGGTATGAAGATTGAACATCTAAACTGCAAGGAAGTGAGTAATTTCTGTTCAGAGAAGCACTATAGTTCAGAAAGCTATCCATACACAATATGAGTATATAATCATCACAGTACCCAGTTCTCTATGCTCTGAAGATGTAGTGAATTAGGTGGGTTTTTTGGTCTTAGATTTCAGATTCAAAAGTTTTTTGTTACAGGATCTCCTTAGAGCCATTTTCCTTTGATATGTAATTCAATACATTCTTAAATCAAGCAGGGATGCTAACCCAGATTCAGGTTTCCTTTTACAACACTTTTTTGCTAGGCTAAATCCTATGCCAGATAAACTGGAAATTGGCAGATGTAGGAAGGACAGAGTGGACTGGAAGTTGCCACCCTAGGCAACTGAGATATTAGGAAGCAGAACTTGCTTCAGAAATCACTTGTGAAAAGAGGCCTCAAATGCCTCTTGCACCACACTCAACATTATCAATTCCCTGCTACACAGAAGCCAGAATGACTCTAGTTCCATATCTTACTAGAAAAGCAAACTGGGAACTGGCATAGCTGTACACGGACTGCACCCACCACAAACTGACAAGAACTATAGTTCCTCTTTTTCACCCCAAATATTGACACAGGTGATCCTGACCATTCTTGAGGCTCATGCCATCTTCTCACAATATAAAAGGAACCAATTTTGCCACTTGAAGACATTCACTCCACTGTAGCACCAACCTAAAAGGGGAGAGGCAGGATGCCAAAATATTTGAATTCAAGAGATAGTGTGCAGTGTCCATTCCAATTTACCCCATTATTTATGGTTAAGAGGAGCCTTTCCATAGACTTCCATAGGAGTCAGATGGGGTCCTCCTTAAAGGGAATGCAAAATTCCCTTCTCCATACACTTTTGCTGTTTCTATTTAGCAAGCACTGCTCCCCTCTTACCTCTCATGTTCCTATTAAGCTGGAAATTAATGTGGCTTCATTTACATTCTTATGTTCTGGCAAAATCACAGCTTCAGAATTACCTTTTGTAAATTAAATGCTACTGGAAAAGGGAATAGGGCAGCATTCATGAACAGGTCACATGCACAGTGGCTACTTTGGGATATTTAAGAATTATGTACAAAAAAGATTTCAAGATACCCTCAACCAGACAGCATATTTTAAACGAAGGAAAATTTTGAGCTAAAGCACACTGGGGATGAAGTGGGAGCACACCTGGAGATAAGTAGGAAACAAAGTAACATCAATCAATGTAATCCTTTTTTTAACATGTGAACGGTAAAGGACCAATTACCTCTCCATCATGTCCTCAAACTTTAGCAGGATTTTCCTCACCAAAACACAAGCAGCAGCAAACGACAGCTAGTATTTGGATTGGGGAGAAGTAAAAGCATGATTTTGTCTAAAAACGGTAAATGTACAGAATGCCCTCAGAGAGCCCTTCCCCCAAGCTGAAGTGTTCAGGGTAAACCTCTCCCTTCTTTAGTAAAGATAACTGGGCTGGGAGGGTGCTTGCTGGTTTACTCAGATACTTTCTTTGTGTGTTTGAAATTCATAACAGAAAATGAGCCAAAGGGGTTGATCTTTCCTCCATAAACAAGGTGACTGTAAATGCATGTGTGCGTGTATGGAAGGAAAGGGGAGTGAAGATTGTGTGGCAGAGTTTTCCAATCTCGGCCTACTGATGTTTATTTTGAATTCTAAAATTATCAAGTAGAAAAACCAGCAACATTCCACAGGAGACCAGGAATAAAGCAGCAGCTGTTGCTCCACATCCTGTGTATTTGCTTGATGTTTCTTGATGAAAACTTTGATGAAGGTCAAGCTTCAGGTCGGTTTTAGCACCAGGAATAATCTCAAAAATCATCTTAGACAAAAGCAAGCAGAAAATGCGCTCTTAGATATAATACAACCAGGTTTTATTTAAGTTCTCTCTTTTTTCCCCCCCCGCACACTGGCAAAAGTTCAGAGGGAGTTTAAAGTTTTGTAAACATTTTAACTACCCCTCTTCCCCCCCTTTATGACTTTACAAAGCAAAGGAGACAGGGAGACCAGATTTGCAACAGTTCCAAGTCTCTCCGTGCTATTAGATCCAAAAACTATATACAAGTCTGCAGCAGTCTCTGTATAGTTACTGTACAAGTTCGGGGGGGGAGGAGGAGGAAGAGAGAGGAGGAAGAGGGGAAGATTACCCCCCAAAAATGAATAAACCAAATGAAATAAAACCCAAAGCCAAACTGCTCTGGAGTAACTCGAGCCGCCTTCTTCAGGCAGTGATGACAAAGACAGACACCTTTACACAGCTCCACCCAAATGGCAGCCTCTCCCCCCGCACAAGCACACTGCAGCCCTCTGGGAATGGGAGGTGGGATCGGGGGGTCAAATTAAGTGCATTTTGCAGTTTCAGGTTTTTTTTTTTTTTTTTTAAACTTCTGCAGAGAGAGCTGGGATTACATAAATATTTAATTATTATGGATCGGAATTGAAGGGATGTTCAGCAATTGAAGGTGTAGAAGGGAATCCGTGCCATTGCCTCACACCTCACTTTCTCCCTCTCCACGGTTTATAGGAGTTCAGATGCTGCCTACAGTCAGGTTCTCTTTTAAATCTCATTCCATTATGAAGAGGATGGTCTCTGCCCCTTAACTTGCATGCAATTGTAACACAAAACTGAATCACTACCATAGGAACCCAGCTGAGACTGTGGGGGATACTTGTTTGGAAAGTAATGTCCTTCCCCACCCAAGACTGTAGCTGTCTCTTAAACGAGACAAATTCACAGCAGAAGGGCCTCCAATAAACTGGTCCAATCCCTATGAAAGTAATATTTAAGGGAGTAATTTCAACCTGAACAGAAGAAATACACCCTCCGCTACCGCCATTATACATTCCCATTTGTCCAGGAAGGCTGGAGGTTGCTGGCGGGAGAACTCCAGTAACTATCATCACTACCTGATGAAGACAGACTCAAGCTTTCCCTCCAAAATTAATGTGCTGAGAGGGGCTGGCAGGGGGTGTGCAACATCAAACCAATCCAAGTTAAACTCCACCCACCACCACCCTCTCCTGCTGTTGCCAGTTCTAAAGTTAGCTTATGAATGCAACTCCTGGATTTGGAGAGCACCTCTTGTCCTGATGGAGCACTTAAGTCAGTATCTGTGTGGCATTTTGGTTTTGACCAATCTCTGTTAACCACAAACTCTCTCCATGATTGCAAAAGTTGGATGTGATAAGCATGACCGGGGAAAGGAAGATACCATTTGCAGAATCCCAGTAGACTTTCCAGATAAATCAGCAGAAGAAATGACAGCACAGTGAACGCGTGCTGCCTGCAGTCAGCCGTTTTGGGAATGGGTCCTATCTCCCACCCACCTAGGAGACAGAGCAAAGTCCACATGTCTATAGGCTGACAGAGACGACAATGACTGTGCAACCTGGGGCAGAAAGATTTTGTTGGGGCTAGAAGAAGCAGCCTGAGATGATTGATTCTGTAAGTAACTGCAAGGCGAAGAAAAATGCAAGTTGGAGAAAGGACGGTGTCCAAAGGTGGAGAATCCATGGTTAACAGACACAGGAAAAGCTGGTCAATCTGCACAAGATCAGTAGTCTTCCAAAGTCTCTATTTCTCCCATATTGAGCCGCTCTGATGAGGCATTCACTGAAAATCCTGTAAAACAAAAGAAGCAATGTTTTAGTCTGGCTGTGCATGTGTAAGTATGATATAATCAGTTTTATTTATTATATGCAACTACTGCTTAAAGGAGGAAGTGGAGAATACATGTCTAATTAAACTGTGGGAGAAATTCACTGCAGACTGTAACTACCCAAACTGCAATTTGACCAAGACACCAGGGTTGTCATGCATAGACTTGGACAAAGTGCCATAGGATCTTTAGTGATTAATCATTAACAGCTTGGTCCTGAGTCTCTCAGAAGATGGCACCTTCAGCATCACTGTGCCTGAACACCACGGATAGTACTGTCTCAGAAGGAAGAATGCTTAAAGCACAATACAGTAGTATTTCTAAGATGTTCTTCAGTCGAGTATTTAGGTGGTACAGGAAGCAGGGTTGGCTGGTGCAAAGATCTAACATCCAAGGACTGACCCTGCTCATCCCTGCTTAGCTTCTGAAGATTTGATGAACTTTCAGTCTGAAGTGGTATCAGCTTCCCGTTTAAAACCACTTTTACAACTAGAAGCCTGATGGAGACAGCATGCAGATGTACCAATAGGCACAAATTTAGGATTAAAAGCACCATAAATGTTTGTACTATTTTCAATCCCTACATGCTTTTCATCTATTAACTATTATTCAGGAAATCCAATATACACTAAAAAATAACCCCCAAGTTTTAAATCATATAAATGCTGAAGATCAGATATACTAAAGAAAGCTGAAAGGGAAAGAATGCACACCAATGTTAGAAATTCAATGCAAAGCCAGTATCTGTAGAAGAATGATTTGGATAAGGATACAAAGGTATTGTCACATTTTGTACAGATCTTATTAGAACACCAAGAGAGAGGAAGCTACAAGGAACCATGCTTTATTTTCTTTAGACAGTATATGTATTCAGAGAGCTTAATATGTGATAGCGATGCAATTTAATTTGCTGCATATTATATCCACTTTTTAAAAATTGGATATGTTTAAGGTATTTACTAAGCCAAGTGGGCTCCATTGGATGGTATATTAATTCCTATAATTTGAAAAAAATGTTTTCTAGTTGAGAAAGTCCTTGTAATAAAAGGCTATACATTTAAGCTCTGTTACAAATAATTTTATTTAAAATTCTGTATCTCAATTTAACATCACTGATATATCAGTAGACTTTAACCATTCAATTAAATAACCATAACAGAGTCATTTGACATGCATGTACACAGACAAGGGAAGAGGTAATATTTTTATTGGACCTCTTCTGTTCGTGGAAGGTAAAAGCTTTTGAGCTACACAGAGCTCTTCTTCAGGTCTGGGGAAGGAAGCAAAGGGCATGTAGAGGTAAGTTTGAATTCGTGTTTGCAGTTTTCATATAAAAATGTGCGTATGAACTCTAATATGAAAATACTTATTTTGCTGAAAACAGTATGTGCAATCTAGTGGATAAGGATGCTGATTTTAATATAGTTTGAGGATCACAGTACTGTTTTCAGGGAGTGGTTTAAAATGTATTAAAATCTCTTCCAATGTGTAATATGGATGGATATGTTCATCTTTATTTTTAAAAAATAATAAAGCAGCAGTGTTAGAATATAGATATTCAGGCCTGCCTGTAAAGGCCTATACTTTAAGAACTTAGGTGTATTTTTATCACTTAGCGGCATCAGAGTTGGGAAGGGGAACACGGGGTAAATTCTCTGCAGCATCAGAGCTGGGACCAGACTAACAGCATACAGAGATAAGCCCCACTGGTGTGAAGGGCTTCGGAATATGCTTGCTTGGAAATTAACCCCAATAAACATCGTATTGTCTGCACTTCGGACTTCTGGTCTTTTGCTGCTTGATGTCTGTGTGACAAAAACCAGGGAAGTGGGAGGGTGAAGGGAAAGCCCTCTAACAAGTAGCATCTGAACGAAAATATTAGTGAATACTATCCCTTAAGTTACAAGGTAGCAGCAAACTCATTGAAGTTAATGGGAGTTATGTGGCTAAACCACAATGCAGCTTTTGAAATATTTCCCCCCATTTTTATTTATGAAAGCAGGCAATTCAGAACAAGAAGACTGCCCATTGGCTAGAGATGTAAGGTTTATAAAAAGAACAAGATTATAAAAGATTTTGCCCACTACATGACCCTTTTAAACAAGACAATTAGGGGAACTGTGAAGCTCCCACTCTTCGATTCATGAACTCTGTCCTGTTAAGAGATTCAAATATGGGAAGGAATGGGTGGGACTGGGGAACACATGTATGTTTGTGCAGACCTCGTTCATCAAAAATATCAATTACCTCATTGGATATCACAGTCTATATGTATGAATAAAGTATGCAGAGTAGTTACAGTAACCAAGCAAACAGGATAGAATCCCTAGCTGTGGTGAAGGTGTACAGAAAGGTAAAAAGACCAAGTCTCAGGGAAAATGATCAAGGGGAAACTGGAAGGG